ATGCCTCTTTTGAGACTGGAACCTAAACGTAGAGCCTTAGACCTCTGGCCAACAGTACCATGGAGAACTGAAAACACAGTGTGGAATGTCCTGGAACAAGCTACAAAATCTTGTGCATCAAGTAAATAAAACCAAATATTTTACCAAACTGTTCAAGTTTTGGGAACTTCTTTTTAAAGAATCAAATCATATCACATTTGGTAGTGGTGGGATTAAAACCCACGCCTCTTTCGAGACAGGAGCCTAAGTCTAGCGCCTTGGACCACTCGGCCACACTACCATGGATCTAGAACAGATGCGACAAGGTATTGGCAAAACTTTACATAACTGTAAATTGAAAACAGAGTGAGGAACATCCTAGAACAAGCTATAAAATCCTCTGCATCAAGACAAAGTAAATAAGACCAAATATTTTACCAAACGGTTCAAATTTGGACAACCTTCTTAAGAAAAGAATTAATCAGGTCAATTTTGGCAGTGGTGGGATTTGAACCCATGCCTCTATTGAGACTAGAGCCTTAATCCAGCGCCTTAGACCGCTCGGCCACACTACAATGAAGTGGCACCAGATCCGACAAGGTATTGGCAAAACTTTAGTTAACTGTAAATTGAAAGCAGAGCGTGGAATGTCCTAGAAAATGCTAAAACTCCTCAAGCCAAAGTAAATAAGCCAAAGTAAATAAGACCCAATATTTCACCAAACTATTAAAGTTTGGCAATTTCCATGGAAAAAAAACTATTCTGGCCAAACTTGTGGTGGTGGGATTTGAACCCACACCTCTATTGAGACTGGTGCCTTAATCCAGCACCTTAGACCGCTCGGCCACACTACCACAGAGAGGGAGAGATTCCACAAAGTATTTGGAAAACTTTATATAACTGTAAATTAAAAACAGAGCGTTGGACATCCTAGAACTAGCTAAAAAATCACATGCATCATCTAAATAAAACTAAATATTTCACCAAAATGTTCAATTTTTGGCAACTTTCTTAAAAAGAAAATTATTCAGGTCAAATTTGGAAGTGGTGAGATTTGAACCCACGCCTCTATTGAGATTGGAGCCTTAATCCAGCACATTAGACTGTTCAGCCACAATACCATGGAGTGGCATAAGATGTGACAAGGTATTGGCAAAACTTTACTTAACTGTAAATTGAAAACAGAGCGTGGGACTTCACAGAAAATGCAAAACTCCTCTGCATCAAGCCAAAGTAAATAAGACCAAATATTTCACCAAACTATTAAAGTTTGGCAATTTCCATGGAAAAAAAAAATTCTGGCCAAACTTAACATAGGTGGGATTTGAACCACACCTCTATTGAGACTGGAGCCTTAATCCAGCACCTTAGACCACTCGGCCACACTACCACAAAGTGGTAAAGATGCCAAAAAGTATTTGGAAAACTTAACAAAACTGTAAAATAAAAACAGAGCATGGGACATCCTGGAACAAGCTAAAAAATCACATGCATCATCTAAATAAAACCAAATATTTCCTTAAACTGTTCAAATTTTGGTAACTTCCTTGGAACGAAACAGTTCAGGACAAATTTGGCAGTGGAGTGATTTGAACCCATGCCTCTTTTGGGACTGGAACCTAAACGTAGAGCCTTAGACCTCTGGCCAACAGTACCATGGAGAATTTAAAACAGACTGTGGAACGTCCTGGAACAAGCTACAAAATCTCGTGCATCAAGTAAATAAAACCAAATATTTCACCAAACTGTTCAAGTTGTAGGAACTTCTTTTTAAAGAATGAAATCATATCACATTTGGTAGTGGTGAGATTAAAACCCACACCTCTTTCAAGACGGGAGCCTAAATCCAGCGCCTTGGACCACTCGGCCACACTACCATAGATCTAGAACAGATGTGACTAGGTATTGGCAAAATCGAAAAATGGTACAACACCCGGATTCTTCCTTGTGCTCCAACAAGCAAGTTGTGCTCCCGTGAAAAGCAAGTTCCGCCTTGCATGTATTGCACACGACAGCATTTTTGGTTAAGTTTAGTAAAATTTTCCTACACCTTACTCGTTCAGATTCGTTTGATCTTCATCATAATTCGCACTGTTTCTTTCTACTGGAGTAGCTTTGGGGACGGCTGCATCACACTCTAGCGCTCAAATCGCGACACGTGACCCTTACATTAGGTCACATGACATCAAACGACTACTCGACAACAAAAATATTTGTCGACAATTTTTTATTGTTGACGTTTTCGATAATGTCGACTAATCGTTTCAGCCCTAGTATTGGCAAAACTTTACATAACTGTAAATTGAAAACAGAGTGAGGAACATTCTAGAACAAGCTATAAAATCCTCCGCATCAAGACAAAGTAAATAAGACCAAATATTTTACCAAACGGTTCAAATTTTGACAACTTTCTTAAAAAGAAAATTATTCAGGTCAAATTTGGCAGTGGTGGGATTTGAACCCCTGGAATAGATGCGACAAGGTTTTGGCAAAACTTTACATAACTGTAAATTGAAAACAGAACGTGTAACATCCTAGAACAAGCTAAAGGAGCCTAAATCCAGCGCCTTAGACCACTCGGAAACACTACCAACCATCTGAAACAGAAACGACAATGTATTGGCAAAACTTTACATAACTGTAAATTGAAAAGAGAGCGTGGAACATCCTAGAACAAGCTATTAAAACCTCCTCATCAAGCCAAAGTAAATAGGACCAAATATTTTGCCAAACGGTTCAAATTTTGACAACTTTATTAAAAAAGAAATTTATTCACAGACCGCTCGGCCACACTTCCATGGAGTGGCACCAGATGCCACAAAGTATTTGCAAAACTTTACAAAGCTGTAAATTGAAAACAGAGCGTGGGACATCTTAGAACAAGCTAAAAAAAATCACATGAATTATCTAAATAAAACCAAATATTTCACCAAACTGTTCAAATTTTGGCAACTTCCTTGCAAAGAAACAGTTCAGGACAAATTTGGCAGTGGAGTGATTTGAACCCATGCCTCTTTTGAGACTAGAGCCTAAACATAGAGCCTTAGACCTCTGGCCAACAGTACCATGGAGAATTGTAAAAAGAGTGAGGAACATCCTAGAACAAGCTATAAAGTCCTCCGCATCAAGCCAAAGTAAATAAGACCAAATATTTCACCAAAGAAAATTATTCAGATCAAATTTGGCAGTGGTGGGATTTGAATCCACGCCTCTTTTGAGACTGGAGCCTAAATCCAGCACCTTAGACCACTCTGTCACACTACCACGGATCTGGAACAAATGCGAAAAGGTATTGGCAAAACTTTACATAACTGTAAATTGAAAACAGAGTGAGGAACGTCCCAAAACAAGCTACAAAATCCTCTCCATCAAGCCAAAGTAAATAAGACCAAATATTACACTAAACTATTGAAGTTTGGCAATTTCCATGAAAAAAAAACTATTCAAGGCCAAATTTGTCAGTGGTGGGATTTGAGCCCATGCCTCTGGATAATCCAGCGTCTTAGACCGTCCTGGAACAAACTACAAAATTCCCTGCATCAACTGAACAAAACCAAATATTTCACCAAACTGTTTAAATTTGGGCAACTTGGGAAAGAAACAGTTCAGGACAAATTTGGCAGTGGAGTGATTTGAACCCACGCCTCTTTTGAAACTATAGCCTAAATGTAGAGCCTGAAGGTACGTTAAAAAAAAAAAGCGCTACTCGCGAGTGAATGCACGCGTGTTTACTTTCCGTTTGATCGCCCGATCCGCGCGGCAGAGCCGTTGAATGCACGCATGACATTCTGGTGTTGACTGGAATGCGCGGATCAGTGGGAGGAGCTACAGGTTCAGCGGTGGTTTGGAAAATGGCGGACGGGATTGTTAAGTTAATATCTGCATCACTAAGCTTTGAAATGCTCCAAAACATCAAAAACGTGTTTGGGGCAGTGGCTATAGGAGCTTAGAATCCTACAAAGAGGCATATATATATATATATATAATTTCTTCCGAGCAAGGTGCTTTTATATATTCTTTTATTATTAAATAAATTTATTAATAAATACAATTTATTCTTTTAAATTATTATTTATAATAAACTACTATTTATAACTTTAACATCATGAAGATGATCAGAGAGCTCTGGCAGTTCACGTAAAGTTTTAATGACAGTCCATCACTGTTTTAATTCCAGACGGTCTCCGAGCTGCACACGTCACAGCTACAGCAAGCTCCTGATTGGTCAGCGCGGCACAGAAAATCCGCCGAAGTTCAATTTTTTGAACTCGAGCGATACGCACGCGGTTCACCCGTCTACGGCCGGTCCGCCTCCTGCGCGCGGCTCACAACACGCGTATCCCCCATTCATGCGGCTCAATACGCGCCTATCGCGGCAACCGCGCTGCTCAATTCGCGTTTACCGCGCCGCTGAAGCCTCAGACGCGCGCAAACGCGTCTTTGCATTGACTTAACATGGAAACCATCCACGCTTACCGCGCGAACCGCGTTCGATGTGAACGTACCTTTAGACCTCTGGCCAACAGTACCAAGGAGTTTGAATAGATGACAAAATATAGACAAAACTGTAGACAACTGTAAATTGAAAACATAGAGATTAACATCCTAGAACAATATACAAAATCCCCTGCATCAAGTCAAGGAAAATCAAAACCAAATATTCACCAAACTGTTCAAATTTTGCAAAGGAAAAAAAAATTAATTTTTACCAAACAATTTTAACGTTTGGTAAGAAAGTATTATGGTCAAATTTGGCTGTGGTGGGATTCAAAAACACGCCTCTTTCGAGACTGGAGCCTAAATCCAGCGCATTAGACTGCTCGGTCACACAACCATAAAGTTGACACAGATGTAAAAACATATTGCCAAAACTTTAGACAACTGTGAATTGAAAACAGAGCGTTGAACGTCCTAGAACAAGCTAAAAAAAATCCCTTGCATCACGTAAACAAAACCAAATATTTTACCAAACTGATCAAATTTTGCCAATTTCTTTGGAAACATACTTTTCAGGTCAAATTTGGCAGTGGTGGGATTTGATCCCACACCACTTTTCAGACTGGAGCTTAAATACAGGACAATAGACCACTCAGCCACACTACCATGGAGTGGGGACAGATATAACAAAATATTGCTAAAACTTTACATAACTGTAAATTGAAAACAGAACTTAATTGAAAACTACAAAATCCCCTGCATCAAGCCAAGGTAAAATAAAAAAACAAATATTTTACCAAACCGTTCAACTTTTGGTAATTTATTTGGTAACAAACTATTAACCCCTGAACATCCACCCCTCAAAGTTACAGATTCACAAACTTTGTAGAAATTGTTGAAATTATCCTCACCCAATTCCCTGGTGGACTTTTTGACAACACTGAATAGAAGCCACAGCTGTGGACCAATATATGACCAAATTTGTCAAAACGGAGCTAAACATGTGTTTTCTGGATTGATTTTTATAAGACAATGTCCAAGCGGGCACCATTGGCAACAAATTGGCACTTAGTAACCAAATGAACAAATTGATGTAAATTTGCATTTTTTAAATACAAATCAATACTACTAGATAAACTACTCAATAAAAAAATGAGGTTGAAAAAACAAAAAACATTGAAAAAAAAATAGGTAAAACAATGTAATTTGTGCATGCCACTCATTAAAACATCTGAATCTCCTCTAAAATGTCCTCAAAACGATCAAATATCTTCTTAGATGCCATTGTGTTACTAACAGTAACAGAAAAACATGCCTTTTTCTCCAGGAAAAAAGTTTTTGTGGCGCGCTCTCTGCTCACCGTTGTGCGTAAAAACTGGATGACTGGAAGCATCTGCTCACTTTACGCATGCTTTGTTTAAATGACCCCCGGGAGGGTCCTTCCTACCCAGCCTTTAAGGCTACAGCTTGGGAGGATCCTCCGAAGTCTTGCAATACCCCTTAGTAAACCGATGGTCTAGCCTCTTATTCTTCTTCTGTTGTTTTTGGCTGTTTGCTTTATGGTGGATTAGCGCCACCAGCTGGATCAGTAGTTTGGATCCCGAATTGAATGAATGAAACTTTTTTTTTAATTTTCTTTAAGTGATTCTTTTATATTTATGTTTTGTGTATTATAAATTTGTAAGATCACTGTAAGTTCTTTTGTTGCTTAATTTATTTTCTAGTGTTTAAGGGTTTATTTTAAATTGTTATATTTGTTTATTTCTTTTTGTCTTTTTTTATTTTGAATACATTGTATTAAAACATGGTCTGTGTTTTCGTTTTGATTACATTGGTCACATTTCCCACATTTATTTTCTATTTTATGTTGAGTGTAATTTAAACCAGTATGTTGTTCTAGCTTCATTCTGTTTACATACTTTTATATACCTATATTTTATTAACTCCTTTGTCTGCTTCTTAAAACATAATGACATCCACAGTTAACAATAATTTGGCTGTGTGTGGCGAAGTTTACAATAAATGTTTAAAATAAAAATATGTTTTACAATTCGCCTATCACTACCACCATTTAATGCTTAAATATACTGTTCTTTTATTTAATATTTTAAAACACGTTACTTGCATGTAAATACAAATTCAAGTGTGTTTTATGTTGATTCTAATAAAAAAAAAACACTGCAAAGCATTGTGGGATATCTGAGGCCACAAAGGATGGTCGCAATGCATCCTCCGAATTCAGGGGAAAGTAGGACGCATTTGAAGGGTGCATTTTTAGGACCCTTCGAGTTTAAGTGGCCTTAAAATGTGCACTCGGGAGGATGCACACTTTTGGATTGGGACACAGCCATAAATGGCGTTTCATACGTCGTTTGATTGTCTGCATAATAAGCTCCACCCCCTCATTTACATAGTGATTAAGATTGAACTGCTCTCCCCCAATCAGCGATAAACAGACCCAGAACAGACTAATCCACCACTGAATGTTTTAACGCAGATGTCTGACCTTAAGTACAACTTTTGGTACATCTAAACAACTTTTAAAGTTTTAAACGAGCAGTAAGATCTATTGCAATATGAAGTATGCAACAGTTCGAGCAATAACTAGAAAATAAAAGCTTTACAAACAAAAATACATCTCAATAACCATGCATTTTGCAAGCACTACATTATTTGTTACAGTTTAGAAATTCATTTGTTTGTTTTCCTGCAGCTTATTCCCTTTTGGGGTCACGGGGGTCTGCCGGTGCCTATCTCCAGCGCACATTGGGCGAGAGGCGGGGGTACACCCTGGACAGGTTGTTAGTCCATCGCAGGGCAACACACACTAAGTATCTAAGGGGAATTTAGATTATTCAATTAACCTAACTGCATGTTTTGGGGATTGTGGGGGAAACCGGAGTACCCGGAGGAAACCCACGTAAGCACCGGGAGAACATTCAAGCCTCGAACCAACAACCTTCTAACTTCGCCACTGTGCCGCCCCACAGTTAACTCATTCAATATATATTTAATATATATGTGTGAAACACGTGATGAATCTTAATTACTTTAATTAATACATTTACGCTTTAACAGGGCATTGACAGTAGGGGGTGCTAAAGCTTAAGAACAAGACTAGATATTCAAGGCAAGATGCATGCAACCCGGTGAGAATATACACGTTGTGTGTTTATCTGACTGAAAGCTTTACATAAAGATTATTGGAATGGCCAATTTTTATTTTAAAGCCCCTTTCAAGCTGGCTTCCCAAAGCGCAAGTAAAACAATTGAACAAAAGTACATAAAAAGGGGAGATAAAATAAATAAAACTAGATATATTTAGTCAGATAGGGTAATTAAAATCAATGGGTAAATAAAGCCATGCATAAAAGGGAATATAAAGGATAAGAAGGAAGAATAAAGGAATAAAATCTCAACAATCATAAGCCAGTTAAAATTGTTTTAAAATGGTGTAACTTTGTGCGTCCCTGAGCTCAGCCGGAAGAGAGTTCCACAGTGACGTTGCATAGACAAAAAAAGGTTTCCCAAAGTTTTAGTGTGAGTGCGTTCAGAAAAAGGCTTAGACTGTGAGGAGCGGAGCGTACATGCACAAAAGAGAAGACAAGTATTCACGGGCCAGACCACAGAGTGCTTAATGAGAGGGTTCAAATGTTTAAATCCACATGGAAACGGACCGGTAGCCAGTGCAGAGACTTAAGAACAGGTCTGGTCAAGACACGAGCAGCTGAATTCTGTCCAGAGTTGAAACCTCGGCCAGGAGAGCATTACAATAATCCAGACGGGACCTGTCCCTTTAGTCTTTCAGCTGCAGAAAATTGCAGCATAGCATGCAGTCTGGCTACATTTCGCAGGCTGTAAAATGAAAACTTGGTGGTGGTTTGAACAAACTGCTCGAAAGTCAGACATGGATCGAATATCACACCAAGGTTCCGCATTTTGGTCTTTGACTCTAATGGGGAACCAATAAAGGATAAAGCGTTTAAAGCGTTTTAAGATGTCTTTTCTGTTGTACCAAATAAAAAATAAAACAGTCAGTAGTTGTTAGTGATCATCATTGTCGTTCATGAACTATTCGTTCTTTTTGAACGAGTCGCTAATGTGACTCATAGGAATGACTCGTGTCGGAGAGGTATTGGTCACGCTAGTGGTTTTTGAGTGTAACCCTCTCATCATCAATGACAAAAGAACAAAACCCGTAGGATTCGTAAAAAGAACAAATCTTTTATGTTTCCTCATACGGCATTGGTTAACATTACAGAGTAGTCATGAGCCGGAAACCGAAAAGACCAATTCTTTTTCCAAGTCCTATTTTTCTTTTCGGTCTCCGGCTCACATATAGCGTTGGTTAATATAGGGTGCTGTTATGTGACAAAAGAACTAAAGGACCCAGTCTAGAGTAAGTGCACAGATTGCACACGTTTACATCAGAGAGAAGTAATGAGATTTAAACCTAAAGAAGAGCGATCAGAGGTGAGGTGAACCAGACTAAAACACCCAGGAAGGCTTAAGTAATATATATTATTTTATCTAGCATCATAGTTTCATCTTATTTGTGTGATTTGCGTTTGTGTATATAATGTTAGTAGATGTGTTAGGGAAGGAGCACACAATATGTATTGGTATTTTACTAAAATGAAGGAAATGACTCGAAAAAAGATTCGTTCATTTTGCTGAAGGGGACTCAAAGAACCGAGTTGGTAAAATGATCCGAACTTCCCATCACTAGTAGTTATACTTTCAAATTGACATGCTTTATTTTGTTCCGTTCTAATTAGTGGTGACTACAGTTCATTAAGTGAATTTTAATACATTTTAATTCATTAAGTGAATTTTAATCAATGTATCTCTATCATGATATCCATCACTACAAAATTAGACATTAGTCGAGGAGAGTCTGGTTGTGCAGCAAGCATGACTGGAACCCCCGGACTATTGGATAACACACAACATGTGACTCACAATTTTTTTACTATTATATATATTTTTTTTACTTTCACTCTCTCATATGTTCTTCATTCATTTTCCAACCCGATTATTGCCTTTCGGGGTCACGGAGGTCATTCACTCACACCTAAGGGGAATTTAGATTATTCAATTAGCCTAACCACATGTTTTTGGGATTGTGGGTGAAACCGGAGGAAACCCACGCACTGACAGGGAGAACATCCCATAGCGCCCTCTACTGGTCTTCAATGTTCTACAATCACAAAACACTGTATTATTCTATGCAGATATTAATATGTGAATATATAATAATTATCCACAAAACCACGGGGATTGAAACATTGACAGTTACATGTTACGGGCTCTAGACAGGGTCTCCACAGCAACCATTTTCCATTCCAGTGGGGGAGTTCTTAATACACTCTGTGAAAGAGACATTAATACAATGCATTTGATATGATTGTTTATAGTTGTTTGCACATGTTTATTGAAAGTGTATTGTATACATTTGTGTTTCATTTTGTTTAAGAATAGATTTTGTTTTCTTGAGTGATAAAGTTGAATGTACTTACCTGCTGATGGTTCGACCCATTTTGAGCTCTCCCATAAAAGAGCTCAAGTTCATTCATTCAGGAGGAGAGAACAGACTGGCGCGTGGTCACCTGATGCATGGCAGAACATTGTGGCTTTTAGCTCTGCTTAGACCTTACGGGCTCCTT